ATATATATATATGTGTGTGTGTGTGTGTGTGTGTGTGTGTGTGTGTGTGTGTGTTGTGTGTTTGTGTATTTGAGATTATCACTAAAGTGCCATTTTCTTCTGACAAAGCAGTCAGGGTGGAGGCATATCTTATTGTTGCATTACTGGGCTGCAAACTTGATGCTAGTTGACTTTCATGGGAATGATGGTGTACACTAGGGAAATATCCCCACCCCTTTTTCTGTGCTTCTTTAGCAGACTGTGAAGAGAAACTCCTAGGAGCAATGGCATGAGCTTTGCTAACTGGACACATGGGAAAGCAATTGTGTGTTTATGTTAACTTTATTAAATGAAGTATGACTCCATTAGTTGAGAATTATTTAAAAAGTAGAAATTTTAAATTAGGTTTAATATTTGTTAATGAGCATTCTAAACTAGAATGTGGATGTAGTGGTGCATGGTTAGAATGTAGATTACATCCTGTGCTGCTTCCTTTCATGCTGCTCCTTAATGGTTTGATTTTCTTCTTAATTACTATAATCGCATTCTTAATCAACTTAATTTACTCTATAAAAGGCCAGTGAGGATTCACCAACCAACCAGCCAACCAACCAATCAACCAACCAACCTACCAGGACCCACTTCACTGGTGGACTGGAGACGGTGATTTACAAAGCTTTTGCTATGTTTGTCATAATGCATAAACTAGAAGTTGATCTGCAGGCTTACATTTCATTTTTTCTTCTAAAGTCCCTCGAAGAAACAGTGATAATCCATGAATCCACTCAGTTACACTTACACAGCCATCATTGTCTCTATCAAAACCTCGAAATACTAAAAAGACACAATGTAACATTTGTGTTGGATTTTAATTCTGCATGATATACCAAGCCTACCTTCACTCTCCATTTCACAGCTGTTTCAAGACCCAAGGTCCCCATGTCCTCATTTGAAAAAGAAACTTAGACACACAACCTGAGAAAACTCTTCTAGTTATAGATTCAACTTTGCCTTCATATGTTGTGGGAATAAGTAATGTTCTTACTATATAAAATATGGATGAAATAATAATATACTGTCGTATTAAACATACTAGTCATTTGATATTTAAGCTTCTTAATAAAATAATTTTGTGCTTTTATTCCTCAGGGCAAACAATGCTGTTACATGGTAGGTGTGCATTTTAAATATTATGTAGTATTCTCTAGCATGTAAGGAAATTTAAGTAGAAATAGAACACAATGGGGTTTTTTATATGAAGTATGAAAACTAGTTATGTTCTCTTTCTAAACAACAAAAGGAATAGGAGACTCATTCCTTCTCCAAGCATTTTGGAAGATTAAAATACATTCAAATGACTTGAATAATCAATGGGTTAAGGAAGAAATAAAGGAAGAAATGAAAAACTTCCTAAAACACAATGAAAATGACCACACAACATACCCAAATTTATTGGACACTGTGAAATCATTGTCAGAAGGAAAGTTCATAGCAATAAATGCCTATATAAAGAAGCTGGAAAAATTCCACACTAGTGAGTTGACAGAACACCTGAAAACTCTAGAACAAAAAGAAGCAAACTTACCTAAGAAGACTAGACAGCAGGGAATGATCAAATTGAGGACTGAAATCAACAAAATAGAAACAAAGAAAACAATACAAAGAATCAATAAGACAAAGAGTTGGTTCTTTGAGAAAATCAACAAAATAAAAAAACCTTTATCCAAACTAATCAAAAGGCAGAGGGAGAATCCAAATTAACTAAATCAGTAATGAAAAGGGGGACATAACAACAGACAAGGAGGAAATTTAGAGAATCATCAGGTCATACTTTGAAAACCTGTACTCCACAAAAACTGGAAAACTTAAAGGAAATGGACAATTTTCTGGATAACTTGTCAAAATTAAATCAAGACCAAATAATCAAATTAAACAGACCTATAAATGCTAAAGAAATAAAAGCAGACATCAAAAGTATCCCCCCCCGCCAAAAAAAGCCCAGGGCTAGATGGTTTCATGGCAGAATTCTACAAGATTTTCAAAGAAGAACTAATATTAATACTCCCCAAATTGTTCCACAAAATTAAAACAGAAGGAACATTGTCAAACTCTTTTTATGAGACTATAATTACCTTGGTACACAAAACCACACAAAGACATTACTAAGAAAGAGAATTACAGACTGATCTCCTTCCTGAACATTTATGCAAAAATACTCAATGAAATACTGGCAAACCAAATCCATAACACATCAGAAAAGTCATCCACCTGTTCAAGTCGGCTTCATCCCAACAATGCAGGTATGGTTCAACATACAAAAGTCTGTCAATGTAATCCACCATATAAACAAACTAAAAAAAAACCCACATGATCATCTCATTAGATGCTTAAAAAGCCTTTCACAAAATACAACATCCCTTCATGATAAGGTCTTGGAGAGACCAGGGGATACAAGGAACATACCTAAACATAATAAAGGCAATATTGATCAAGTCAACAGTCAACTTCAAACTAAATGGAGATAAACTCAAAGCAACCCCACTGAAATCAAAAACAAGACAAGGTTGACCACTCTCTCCATATATATTCAACATAGTACTTGAGGTTCTAGCTAGAATAATAAGACAACAAAAGGAGATCAAGAGGATACAAGTTGGAAAAGAAGAAGTCAAACTCTCACCATTTGCTGATGATATGATAGTTTATATAAGGGGTCCCAAAAATTCTACAAAAGAACTTCTACAACTCATAAACACTTCCAGTAATATAGCAGGATACAAGAGTAACTCAAAAAATCAGTAGCCCTCCTTTACACAAACAATAAACTGGCTGAGAAAGAAATCAGAGAAACATCATCCTTCACAATAGCCACAAATAATATAAAATATCTTCAAGTAACTCTAACCAAACAACTGGAAGGCCTGTATGACAAGAACTTTAAATCTTTGAAGAAAAAAATGAAAGAAGACACCAGAAAGTGGAAAGACTTTCCATGCTCTTGGTTAGGTAGAATTAACATAGTAAAAATGGCGACCTTACCAAAAGCAATCTACAGACTCAATGCAATGCCTATCAAAATTCCAGCAAAATTCTTCACAGACCTTGAAAGAACAATAATCAACTTCATATGGAAAAAAAAACCCAGGATAGCCAAAACAATCTTGTACAATAAAGGAAGTTCTGGAGGCATCACAATCTCTGACTTCAAACTCTACTACAGAGCTACTGAAAACAATCTGGTATTGGCATAAAAACAGACAGGAGGACATTGGTACCAAATCGAAGACCCAGATATCAATCCACACACCTATGAACACCTGATTTTTGACAAAGAAGCAAAAAATATAAAATGGAAAAAGGAAAGTATATTCAGCAAATGGTGCTGGCATAACTGGATATCAACTTGTAGAAGAATGAAAATAGATTCGTATCTATTCCCATGCACAAAACTCAAGTCCAAATAGAACAAAGACCTCAACATAAAACCAACCATACTGAACCTCATAGAAGAGAAAGTGGGAAGTACACTTGAATGCATTGGCACAGGAGACTACTTCCTAAATATAACTAACCCCAGCATCACAGACACTGAGTGTAACAATTAGTAAATGGAACCTCCTGAAACTACAAAGCTTCTATAAAGGACACAGTCAGCAAGACAAAATGACAGCCTACAGAATGGGAAAAGATCTTCACCAACCTCTCATTGGACAGAGGGCTGATCTCCTAAATACACAAAGAATTCAAAAAATTGGTCATCAAAAGAACAAATAATCCAATAAAAAATGGGGTACAGACCTAAAGAGAGAACTATCCTTTCCATGCTCTAGAAACATCATATTGAGTGAGGTAACCCAGACCCAGAAAGACAATTATCATATGGACTCACTCAAAAGTGATTTTCAGACATAAAGCAAAAAAAAAAAAACCCAAAACAAAAAAAAACCCACCAACAATCGTAATCCCAGAGAACCTAGACAGCAAAGGAGATATACATGGATCTAATGTACATAGGAAGTAGACAAAGACAAAAATCTCCTCAGTAATTTGGGAACTTGGGGAACATGAGAGAGGGTAGAAGGGGAGTGGAGAGGAAGGAGAGGAGCAGATAAAAATACATAGTTCAATAAAAACAATTATATATATGTATATATAGGCCACTAAAAATAATACATTCAAATGTAATTGGGGATGTAGAACACGAGATTCCTCCAAAGAGCATAACCAAACTTGAACCTTTGTTATTTACAGTTGAATTTTACAGTTCCCATCATATGTGTATCTTACCTCTGTCCATAATCATGTCATCTGTCATTCCAAATGTCATATGCAGAATGTTCCGAAATGCATTACGATCTAGTCCAATGACTACTCCTGGCCTTTCTACCACATCTCCCACCAAGTTATAGAAAAGCGTTATAAGGCAGTTCACTTCAGATTTATTAACTGTAAAAGATCAAAATTGACACATAACAAAAGCACGCTTTAAAATTTCAAGAACTCAAATACTGCATTAATGAGTTTATGTGTTCAAAATCAAAAGCATCTAATGCTTGGCTGCCATTTTCAAGTCTCCCATATTCTGAGCCTTAGAGTTAAAGGAAGATGATGCCAAAGTTACATTACCCACTAACAGAAGGCAAATTATTCATTCTGGAGCCAAATGCTAAATAGAAATAGACTCCATCACAGTTAGAATGAAAGAAGATAGCAGTCGTGTGACCTAAATGACTGTAGTGTCAGAGTTGAGACTTCGCAAGTGCAGACAGGAGGGCAGGTCACAGCTGCACTGTTTCAGACTGCAGGCAACAGCCAGCATTTGATGGTAGGTGTTTATGGCACTTACAAACGAGCATTACCCTGGAAATTTAGGCTCCTAAATATCTGTGTAATCATTTTCATTTCAGTTTAGGCTTAATAAATTTATAAGGCATAACCTTGAAATCAGAGTTATTTTCTAATAAAGGAATTTTAGGCATGTTCTACCAACCAGCGCGATTCTTCTCCAAGTTGTGTGAACATTAACGAGAAAAACCTCTGGATTAATTTTGCAGAAAGATTTATTTTTAATTTAATACTTTCTCTCTCTCTCTCTCTCTCTCTCTCTCTCTCTCACACACACACACACACACACACACACACACACACACACACCCAAGAGCACGAGAGAGAGAGAGAGAGAGAGAGAGAGCTGAGAACAGGGACTCAGCCATGTACCTATGCACCAGTGTTCACAGTGACATCATTCAGAAAAGCCAAAAGGAGCAAACCAATGTTCGGTGATAGATTAGTGGTTAAACAAAATGTGGTATAGCCACGCAGTGTAATACTGGCTTTTAAGCATTGCTACAAGATGCATTGGCATTAAGTGGAAAAAGTATATCTATGTCCTCATGGTGATGCCACATGTTGGAAAACATAATGAAAAGGGAACCACTTCTGCCTCTCAATTCACTATCAGACCTGCTTCTCATCTGCAAAACGAATGTCTTTAATAGGCATGCAAGATTCAGAGCTTGAAGCTGACTTTCAAAGAAAACATGCAATACACTTCTGCCATACACTTTGCACAGAGATGGACCTAGCACAGAGATGATGGACCTACTACAGAGATGAACCTAGTACCAGAGAGAGATGGACCTAGCACAGAGATGGACCTAGTATAGACAAATAGGTGCTTAATATAGAGATGGGCCTAGTACAGAGAGCTATGGACCCAATACAGGGATGGATCTAGCAGAGAGATGATGGACATGGTACAGAGATGGACCTAGTACAGAGATGCTCAAGCACAGAGATGGACCTAGTACAGAAATGGACCTAACACAGAGATAGACCTATTACAGACATGGACTTAGTGCAGAGATGGACTTATCACAGAGCTGATGAACCTAGCACAGAGACCTGGACCTAGTGCAGAGATGACCTAGTACAAAGATGACCTAGCACAGTGATGGACCTAGTGCAGAGATGGTCTTATGGATAAAGAATTCTTAGCCCCCCTCAAAAATCCCCGAGATGACTTTCTGTTTCTTTCTTAAAACTGGGTGAAAGCATATCTCTGTAACAGTGACAACAGACAACTGGGCCTAGGTCCCCTGTCTTACAGATGTGTTTACTTGTATCCTAATCCCAGGCTCCTGGCTTTCTGCAAACAGAAAGCTGTTTAAAGGCAGGCTGGGAGGAAAGTTAGATAACCCCACCCCCAGACTTGTCCAAGCAGAAAATAAATCCTTTTTTCCATTACATTTTTTTTAATCTAATTTCTTTTGAAATACAGGGAAACTGAAGAAGCATGTCTATGGAGCTAAGTGGGTATTAACCAGAAGGTAAAATATGGTTTCACTTATATGATGCATCTACTCTTGTCAAATTCATAGTGGGGAGTTCGTGTTTAGTTGGTACAGGGTTTATTAGGGAAAAATCACAGTTCCAGAGATTGCCAATCATAACAGTTGCATGACACTGTGCATGTACAGGGTCCCTTCCTGTGTGAAGTTTCACCTCCCCTGTTATAGTGCAAGAATAATGAATGAAATAAAAAATAACAACTTTTATTACAGGATAGTGTTGTAACTATTTTATTGTTTGTAGCTAACCTAACCTACTATCTAAGTGTGTCTCATTTATAACTTAAAATATGGTAGCTATTTGTGTACAAGGAAAATCATGGGATACATACTCCTCAGTATCTCTAATAGGTGTCATAACTTCACCTTCAACTTATGGAAAAGAGAAGTCTTCTGAACTTAATGCCAAGAGCCACACATATAAAACAGTTAAAATGTTAAATCTAAAATATAAAAGCACAATACATGAGTGTGAAAAGCTCTAAAAATTCAGAACTGTTTGTGGTTGGGGAAGGACTGTGTGAACAACTCCGATGCTGATGGGCCGGGTTTCCATCTCAAGACAAAAGTCACTTAAGTGACAGCAGCTTCATTTATGACTGAGATCTTTAAAAGTTTCTTGCTGATGTTTAAAACCTTTTGATTGCTTTGTATGTGAGCACTGCATCTATATGACTGCTGTCTCTCCCTGTTCCCCTTACCTCCTCCCCTCTCATGACTTCCACTCCCTTTCAAATTCATGACCTTTTCTTTATTGTTTGCACACACACGCGCGCACACACACATACACACACACACACATATGCATACACAGCCACTGAATAGACTTGTGCACGTGTCTAGCACTGACCTCCTGGGGATTGGAGAACCTATATAGGAAGTGATCCCTGGAGAAAATTGATTCTTCTTCTCTCAGCAGCCGTTAAACACCTGTCATTTTCTTTTTTTTTTAATCTACGAGTGGGACCCATTTCCTTGTACACGTTGGCACGTGAACTGATGTTGTTACACACCGATCTTGTTCACCAAATGATATTGTTGATATGTTATGGCTGAATTTTTCAGGTCATGTCTAAGCATACTCTCTCGTAGCAGGCACCCTGGTCTTCTGGCTCTTCAAAGCTTTCTGCTCCCTCTTCTGTGACTTTCCCTGAGCCTTAAAGTAAGGGCTGTGTTGCAAAGTCACTATTTCTTTAAATTATTAAAAGTTGAGAATCTCTGAAATAGTCTCCATCAGTTCTTTAGTGAAGAGAGAGAGAGAGAGAGAGACAGACTTGTGGCTCTAAGAGTAACTATTTAGAGTACAGTTAGAAACTGTACTGGTTTAGGAAAGTGGCAGCTATAGGTTCTCTGGTAGAGGCCCATGATTCCCTCCAACCATGGGTAGCTGGCTAGGTTTACAGTACCAGACATGAATCTTTCCTATTCAGTAGACCATAAGTTCAATTAAAAAGCTGGTGGTTGACCCCAAGATAAAACTGCCACCATTGCAGCATTGGGGATTTCATGGAGGTCCGGTCTTTGTCCTGGCTTACAGGGTTTCTGGGTAGGACTACTTATAGCTCCTTTCTATGCTGCTTACAGAGCACTTTGAAGTTATTTGAGGAGCTAGTCCTCAGGGAGGAGGCTTCCAGATCAGCTCCATCTCAATCTCTACAAATTCTGTGCCTGAGTGTGTGGTGTCTTCAGCAATAGAATCTCACGGTCAAGTTCTAGAAGGCAATTAAAGGCAAAGGCTATATTCCATTCTATCACGGAATCTCACGTATCTCCCTGACCAATAACTGGAGGGGAGGTTTCCCATCCCTGCCACTGAATTTTTTTGTTAGATAGCGCATGACTCTTGGGGGTGGGGAAGCACCCTTACTACATGTACCATAACTCATGTGTGTTTGTGTGGGTACATATATAGGTATACATATATTTATTAAACAGTTATTTTAAGTATGTTCATAAGATAATGTTTTCCTGTAACTTTTTCAAACATTCTTAGTAGTATTTATCTTTTCTCCCTTCCTTTCCCCCTGTATGACCTTCCTGTCCCCCATGAATTCTCCACATATTACATGAATTTAAGGGAAATCCCATTTGGCTGTTCATCTTTCCAGGGTTGCTACACGGGCCCAGAAGTTCTCATCTGTAGCTGGTGGATTAACTAGCTGCCCACCTAAAACCCTTTCTTCTCTGGTTCAACACAACGTGTCCTTCATTCTCTGTGTCATCGTCTGTCATTTAGAGATGTTTTAAATCAACACAATGTCCATGAGCTGTATCTGTTTGAACATACCACTTACTTGTTGCTAGTAATAATTAAAGTTTCTAGGATTTATATAAAACATTATTTAAAATCAAAAATCAAGAGTTTTATTTTTCAGACATGTTTTTACTGACAATTTAAAATCTATACTTAGTTTAGGGCTTAATTCAGTGGTAGATTGCTTGCATAGTTTGCTCAGTCCTCAGTACTGCAAATATAACACAAAAGGAAGACCACTTATTTTTGAATTGTTCTCAGGGTTTGCTTGCGAAGCATTGTGAACTTACTGAACAGATTCAACCAGTTGAGCACTGTGTGTGTCGGTTATTAATGTGTATTTGCCAGAAATGTCTGCACTCGTTTTAGAAATACCAAGTATTCTCCCAGAGATGAAAGCGATGCAGGAAAACAACAAAAGAATACAATCTCTATCAAATTAATAAACACCTTAACTTGCTGGATTCCTTTTTCTGAGACTTTTTTTTAATACAGTGTAACAGTATATGATAATGTTCAGTTCTGGTACTACCCCTGTGGCATCATTTTTCACACATCATATCAGACACCAGTGATGTAAAAGAAACATTTGTGTCTAGCGTTGACCTCTTGGGGCTCCATGAGAAGTTCATTTCTACACCTTTGTTCAGCAGAGATAGTCTGAATATGCAGACCTCTCCTGTTTTCCTCAAGTGACCAGTAGCTTTTCAACCATCACACGGCTTCTAAGTTCACACACCAGACAACAGTGCCTTCATCCCAACCACATCCACACATGGCTTCTTAGGCTGAGGGCAACTCTGATTTTTCAGCCTGAGTACAGTGCTTTGGGGTCTGGCCCCTTGGAAGATTCCCTTCACCTTTGGACCCCACTAGCAGTTAATGAGTGTCTGAAACTGGGGACAGATTCCTTACTATCTTGAATTTGCTCAGCAATGCAGGTTTCAAACAGAACATTGCTAGAGAGCCCCAAGTGTCTTTCTTAAAGGTTTCCAGGAGTGGATGACTGTGTTGCCTTATGGGGCTCATTATTAAACTCCCAGAGCCTAGCCCTCACAGGTTCATTTGCTCTAGAGAGAGCTAGAAAGTAGGTGAAGGTGCTATATATTGGCTCTGCTACTTTCTTGATTCTAGAGTTTTTCTAGAACTTTTTCAACCCTTGTAAAGTTAAAGTCACATGCCTCCCAAGCACACAGCATCTCACTTCTTTAACATAAAAGCAAATAAAGAGAGTCTGAATTTAGCGAGTGTGAGCGCGAGCACAGGCAGCGTACTCGAGACGCTTGCGACCTAGTTCTAAAGATCCAGGGACTGAAGGAGGAGCTGACACCCCAGAAGGGGATTCTCTTCCAGATTTCTCTTGAGGAGTAGTGGGGGGGGGGGAGGGGAGGGACCTTGTGGTGAAAGCAGGAAGGAGACACTAGGTAGAAAAGAGACCTGGCCCGGAAGTCATGGGTACTTCAGCATTCGGTTCTTACTTACAATGCTTGCAACTTTTAGTTAAGGTGTCTGTCAACTTCTGCAGCTTCTTTCGGTTCATGGCGGGAGTTCATATAATGAGGTCTCAGTGTCATCTGGAGCCTAGAGCCAGGTCCCTCATGAGCTCTAGGCTGAGGCAGCCTAGTGCAGACTCGTGGCTCTGAGCATTTGCGTCCCTAACAGACAGTGTGGCCATGACAACGCCTTAGAGGGCCACCAATTGGCTCCTGGGGGCGGGCGCACGACACATAAATGAAGCTCCTGCACACAGAGGAGCCATGGCAACGGATGGGCCTGTGGCCGATTGGCTCCTGCGCTGGAGACTGACTAGTCAGGCCCAGAAAGGCCTGTGACCCGCCCAGCCCCCTCGCAGTCCAAGTTGCAGAGTTCCAACCTGGCGCTTTGCTTCCTGTGTTGATTGCCAGGTTGGGGTTTTTAATTTCCACTTGTCACTCTCTTTTCAGTTCACAGCGCCTCAAACTGCGACGTAAATAATCAGAAGTCTAAGAGTAAGGTGTGGACAATATGTAGGAGACATTTTGGGTAAGGAGCACAGGAAGAATTGAGGGTCCTCCAGGAGCTCCGCGGGGTGCTAGAGGGAAATAGGTGTGTTTTCCCAACAATTGTCAGGTGGCTTCTTGCCTGAGTGTTAGGAGCTTTTCCTTCAGGACTAATTCACCACTGAAAGTAAGTTTGAACAATTAGGCTTGAACTGTGTTGCTGAGAAAGTAGACCCCCTCCCCCCCCCCCCCCCCCCCCCGCACCTTTTTCTATCTCTCTCTCTCTTCCCCTCTCCTTCTGTCTCACTCTTTGGAGGAGGAGGCTGTCTTTCACACTTGCAAAATGCCTCTGTCAAATTGTAGTTTGTTAATTAATGTTACATCCTCTTATATGAAGATAGGTTCCCACTTAAGTGTGGGGTATAACACAAGCTTGCCTTTAAAATATATATACCACTAAAATTGATGCTGGCTCTGTTTTTATTTTATTTTTTTAAAGAATCATTATACGTCTGTAGTACTGCAGTACTTTCTGCTTTACTCAATAACTGATGTGATGCTCTGTTTGATTTTAGACTCAAATGAATGGGCTAGCTCCAGATGAACCTTCAGAGAGCAACGGCTGGGAAATCACAGTAGTTTATTGAAAACATAATGTCCTTTCCAAACTGAAAGCAGAAAAATACTGGCAAGAATAAGGAACAACCCAAAATGAAATAGTTCCAGTGTTGAAGTGCCTGGTTTCCTTTTACAGTTTTATTTGTAGAAATAATTACAATGCTGTTTGAAACCAGAACCAAGAACCCCTGGTAACCCCAGAGACTGTGCCTCCTTAAAGAAAATTGTTTGAAAACTGTTAACCAATATTAGGTGAGCACCATGCCCTCACATCTAGAAGCTGGGAAACTCTGAGATAGCAGAAGCAAACGAGAAGGGCTGGATATACAGTGACCTTTCTTCTCAGCAAACCATAGAATCTTTCTCTACATTTCAGGGCTGAAGTTGTGGAAGCAAGGTAGTAGGTGTGGTTGTCAGTAGTTAATGGCCTAATCCACAGGCATATGAGGTGTCTTAGGAAACAGCTTCCACTGATGGTGATCACATTACGGAGTGTGCCCGGGCATCATGGAACAGAGCACACATTGGATGCCTCTTGGAGGTACATATAGATAAGGTAATCACTTACTTCAACCAGACCATAATGGCCATTTTCCCTTAAAGTGAAAAAAAAAAAGTAGGGTCAATACTGGGGCCTATTGAGATTAAAAATAGGCAAGTGCTTACAGCAGACAAATATCTCTTAACTATTGAGCAGCATTTGAAAGAAATTGCCTCTGCTTCCTAAAGTCCTACTGAGTTAAAAAAAATCTGCATTAATTGTGTGCAGCTTGCTTCCCTGAGTTGTGCAGACAATCAGCAAATCTTTGTCAAGGTAAGTATATTTATTTGAGGCATGGTTTGTCAACATATGAATATTTCTTAAATCACCCATTATATTTTGTTAAAAAAATTAAAATTCGTACTTTGTACAACACATTGCAGGCCTCTAATCATATTTATGACAAAATCAAAGTTTCTATTTGTAATTTTTAGTTGTTTATGATGAACAGACTCAGAGTTGCCTTCCCCTGGGGCTTTGTAAGAGTAAGTCATTAAGTGTGAATGCTTAACTTAGATCAAGTCAGCTGATAACACAACAAAAGATTGTGTCTCATTTGTGTTGAACACTGATTTTCCTGTGCACGAAATGATTATGAAACTCTCTAAAATTCGAGAAACTTTGAGATGGATACTTTCTTAAATAAAAAGTATATTTAAGTGATTATTAATGCTATCTTGCTTTCTTTAATTTGGAGTTACCTTGACTTACTATTCTTTGGAATGTTGCCCTGATAAATAGCTTGGACCTTGATTTGATAGAAGTGTTTTTCTTAACACGGACCTTTTATGATGAAGGCACTTGGAAGCTCTTTGGGAAATGACATCACAGAACTGGTGTCCAACTATAGTGTATTATAAATATATTATGGAATTACTTTAATAGAAGGAACAGAGAGCTTGGTTGTCTGCATTATTTAGGTCAATTTTACTAATTTATTTTATAAACACAATGGCAAAATTTGGAGTTAAATTTAGCTAGCTTTTGGAGTTGAGTATCCACTGCCATTTCTGGTCGTTTTGTCTTTTGCTCTGATGCTGTGATGGCAGTCTCTTTTTAAAATTGAGATCCCATTGAACACTGAACATCAGAATTTCTGGATACATTTCATCTCTGCCCACTAGAAATTACAGTTCTTCAAATAGATCCTTTGATATTCCTTTGAAATTCTCTTTACTTATCCTCTTGCCAAGGAGCGTTAACTTTCTAACACTGAACACTAGACTGTAAATGACCCAATTCTCTATATTCTCCATTCCAATATGGAAGTTTATCTTAATCGATGTCTTTATGTGCACTTGTCTAGCCTTTGTCAATGCTTTTGAAGTTTAAAAAGACCCAGTTCGGGTTTGTATTAACAGAAATAAAAGGGGAAAATGTGCAGCGAGAGGGAAAAAAAGTTGCCTCCTAGTTCTCCGAGGCAACTGCTTGTGGAACACTGTAGATGCTGTGGGGAGCACCTCAGAAGGAAGGATTACTACCTGCAGTGAAGTTCTTAAAGGAAGCATGGCACTAAGGAAAAGCTTTCTTTCAAACTGTCCTTGCCTCATAGTGCACACTCAGTTCTCACTGATATTAATACAGTCAAGACTTTTTTTCTTTTTTCATAATCAAGTGATCAGTAGGTAAAATTAATGCCTAAGGTTTACCAAGGTAGGATTCTTACAGCTTACATGTAACTTAAAACGTTGTAAATAAAGATTTGGTATGGGGTAAGCAGCTATAAGATGATTAGGTCAGCAGTATGAGTAAAGACACTGGGTTCTCTAAATTTGCACGAACCCACTTAGGAATCCAACGGTACTGTGCGACTGAAGTCTAAATCACAAGCTCCTGTGTCAAGACTTATGGTAATTGTGTAATTTCCGTAGTTACCACAGGGACAGTAGGTACTCTCAGTTTCCTGACAGAATTCTAGGACGCTGTAGCCGTCTAGTGAAAACTAGGAAGGTGGTCACACCCCTCCTCTATATCTTTGTAATACATTTTCCAGACTTGCCCAAATGTCATCACTGCCAGGCTTGTAAGTCTCTTTTCTGGCCAATCTATAGATACTTAAAGGTTGGTCAGGGCTGAAGAGATGTCTCAGTGGTTAAGAACACTGACTGATCCTCCAAAGGAGCTGGGTTAAGTTCCCAGCACCCACCCGACAGCTCACAACTATCTGTAGCTCCAGTTGGAGGGAATCCAGAACCCACGGAAAAAACATCAAAACAATTTTTTAAAAATGGAAAGGTTGGACCAGCAAGGTAAGTCCTAGGTCATAATATGCACTGGAGACCTGGACCCATTTAGAACAGACATAGAAAGAAAGTGTGTGACTGTCAGACTGTGGACACTTTTGGGCAGGCAAGGAGAATTGGCATTTGCATACTAACATTCGAGGATTCCTCATACTTTATCTGTGAGCACAGGCTTGTTAGAACTTGGACTTCCTTTCTCTTTTGTTCAAGCCGGGGGTTGAAAGTGAGGCCTGTACATACCAAGACAATGCTGACTTTCACTTCTTGAAGACTGTTTCCTACTTGATGACTCTTAAGAATACAGTCACAATTTGCATCAACACTCCCACTGTTCCTTCACTAAGTCAAACCTGATGCCAACATCAGAAGGTCACTCTACGGATGTTATTGGAAGCATCTGGGGAGTTCACCTTTGAATTTGTTGGCCGTGTTGCTAGGGAAATGACAGGGATTGCTTGATCCACTATTCCAGAAATCTACCATCTCCTCAGAATGATCTCTCATTAAAATAAATACTACCAGCCACGCTCCTGAAAATATTGCTGTCTAACCCTTGAAGATGCTGCTGGGTGGGCAAGACTCATTCTTCAGCTCTGGGTAAAGTGTAGCTGTGGGTCACTCTAGGGGCATTTGAAAGGACATTTGCAGGACTAGAAACTAGCAAGGCAAAAAATGCAGTGTAACATTCAGCATTGTAGAAAACATTTGTCTAGCATCATGACCCTTATATTTCACAAATCTGAGTTCTCAGTTTGCTTCATGGAAGACTGTGTGTTTAATATTGCAAGACCTAGAAATGATTCCCATGTGTTACTTATTTACTCATTTTAACAGTAGTATGAAGTGTTCACCAGGAGCCAGGCGTATTAGGTACCTGGGTATTTTCCCGGGCCCTGACTATTAGTCAGTAACCTGGTCTGGGACTTTGCAGAATAGTACACATGCACATCTTGGAAGGTTCCACAAAGGAAATCAGTCTTTAGGTCATGCAAGTCTGGGTACTGCTCCCTAAAAACCATTCAGAGGTCCTAATGAGCAAGGATACCTGGCACTATTATAAAATGAGCTATTCCCACCACCACCACCAAAAAAAGAGATATCTGGGAGAATAAGGGGATACATGAAAATGCATTGGTAAACTATAAGAACTAATTTAGTTGGGTCCAAAGCTGTCACATATCCCCTTAAAAGCAGAAGAGGAAGTACAAAGTAAAACAGAGAGTCAAAGGTCATCAAGGGACTGTGTGGGCTTTTCAGGTAATGTGAACT